CTGTATCGCATGTCATCCTTTTTGTGTTTTGTCTTGATTTCTGTTCCTTCAGGGTGCCGATCATTTTTCTATTATTCTGCTCCCAGTTGTCTCAAAGTCTAAATAAAGGCTTAGATAACTTCCCCAGCTACACAAAAGTAGCAAGGAGAGGGGTTGACTGAAGGTCCCCCCTTTTAACTTTACACAATGTAATCTGTAGCTTAAACTGTCATTATTATTATTATGGGTTAGACAAGATCATCATGGTTATCATGTTGGAAGTTTTGGCATAGCACAGGCTGTAGAACTTCCCTGAATTTATGTCTGTTCATGAATACTTGCTTTCCTTGGCCACAAATCTGTTAGTTTTGTTCTGTGTTGTTTTTGAAAATGATTAACTTTCTGTAATGAACCAAACTCTGCTATCACAGTGACTCTTTAGGCGGTTCCTGATTGTATTTGCTAATGTCTCCGTCCCAGATCTGAGCACAACTAATGACTGGAAGGAATGTTGCTGTTGTCCTTTGACCGTTTCTAACAGTGCTGTGACATCTTTAGTGTTTCCCTTGGTAGGGACGGTAGTGCGGAGTTTGTTTAAGCAGCTCATATGAACAATAATGCTCCTTTTAACAGGGTAGCAGCCTTCTAATATCAGGCTGCAGAATTAAGTTACTATAAGAAAGGTGAACCCACCACTTTCTGATCTGAGCGTTGAGTGGAAAGTCAACTGACACTATTGCAAGGGGCTTTTTTTTTGTCTTTGGAGTCCAGCTAAGCTGTGTTTTATCAGCCTCACCAAAAAGATGGCAAAGTGTTTTGGCTAACAAACAAATACGCTGTTTAGAAAACACCAGCCATTTCACTGTTTGCAATTTTCAGTGCCATTTAACTGTATAGTCTTGTAATTAGATGGTGTAAAGTACTTAACATGTTACACAAATATGTCAAAACGCATTAGCAGCACAAGTGTTCTTTACTGCTTTCCTAAATACATTTCACAATATGTCGTACTAGAATCCACCTCTTGTCATTATTTATAAAACTGCAAAGTTAAGATCACCAAGAATTAGATGATTAGCATGAGACTGTCTTTCTGTACTAAGAATATATATCATGACAATGTACAGACTGAAGCATACAAATCCCTTCTCATCTAAAATGAGAAGGCAGCCTGGAATAAAACCCAACAAATTATGTTTTTCATATTCACTCCGATCAACTTTCTGCTGCTGCTTCTTAATTCCCGTTCAGTTCAACTGCTTCTTTGCAAACTTTTGGGTTACCTCCAGACTTTGCATTTGAATGCCTTGTAGGCATTGTGTAGCTTTTGAATGGCGTTCGGCCATGGTTTCTGACGCGTGGGGAGGCCAGCCGCTTACCTGCTTCTGGGAAGGATCTTTTCCATAGAACAAACAGCTTTGTAACACTTTACCCTGCCGAGGCAACAAGTAACTTAAGTAGCTTCCTTATAAATGAGAAGGTAGGACTTGCGGCTTCCTTAAAGACCATCAACTGTGCTGAACTTTCAAATGACCCATAGCAGTATTCCCACAAACGCGCGCTCTATGTGTGACCCAGAACCAATGGAAGTCGCGGTCATTCCAGTATTATCGCCCTTGTGGTCTAGGCAAGCCTGGGGACCAAGTGTCTTGAGGAGACACTTCTGATGCGGACCTGCAGGTGAGGCCAACCAGTATGCTCTCCTGCCTGCTTGCTTCTCCCGTGGAGACTTGAGTGCTGTTTGCAAACTGAAACGATGCTGCTGCTGCATCCTACACATGCTTTCCTGCTCTGTGCAAGCTTGGGTATTACTTCCATACACAGTGTAAGCTTTGCAGTTTCAAAGATCTAATCTAATAATAGATTGGTCTACATTTGCTGTGTTGCCAGAAAAAGACATATGTTGTCAGGCAGTCGAAGTCAGCAACAGTGCTGAAGTGGAAATGTGCTGAAACACGAAGAAGGCAGAAATCCAGAAGAATCTATCTGAGGTTTGGCTATTAGGAAACTAAAAATATTGTCTTCTTACATATATGCTTTCCACACATACTTAGAGAAATACTGTTTGCCTGATGTCTCAAAATGATTAAAGGGCAATTCTTTTCCTTTCTTGGCTTTGATGTGATAATAGAAGATGCTGTTGGCATTCAGCTTATTGAAAACTGGTGTAAGAGGAAAGAAATGATTGGAATGACTTGAATGGAAGAGGCATGTGTAGTATAGCACAGGAGAGAAATACGACATTGAGTTCCTTCTGTCATTGATGATTCAAGATGCAATTTTTGAGTTGCACTCACAGTGGAAGTAGATCTTTCCACATCTGTGCTGAGACACAGGTTTTAGGGTGAGGACTTGAGTTTTGACAGCATGCGATGGTAAGAAAATTTTCCATGCCATATTTTATCACACAATGTTTGCAATTCCCATTTTTCATTTTTAGCTTTTCCCTGGGAAAAAGAATGCATCGTTGGCTTGAACAAAGTGAATGTATACCGCAAGAACCGCTGGTCTTCTCTGTGCTGGTGAAAAGACTTTGCTTTTAAATTCAGATGGCTCTATGCTGCTGACCTTTTACAGAATTGCAGTGAGGTGGGGATTGGGCTTTAGGCTGGTATATGAAGATGTGAGGTTTTGACATGCGTTCTGAGCCAGCAATTACAGGATTTCATCTGTACGTATCCCTTAAAGATCATCACTTCTGGATGTGTGCTAAGAAAATGGCATCTGTCACAACCATACTTTTTCTGCTGCGGTCCATGTGTGCACATAGACATGTATTACTGTTCTGGAACAAAATTTCTCCGTAAATGCCATCGCAGATCAGGAAAGATTTTTTTTTTTTTTTTTAATATTAATGTTTCCTCCTTTAAGACCAGTAGCTTCTCCCTAGTCAGCATGCATGTGGCTTGGTGGGGTAGTAGTAGCAAAGAATTTTATTTCAGTGACTTCTCCAGGGAATTCATCCACTAAATAATAAATACTTATATCTCCTGGGAGCCACCTGGAGCAGCATCCCAGAAGTCCTTTTTGCTTGGATCACCCATCGCACAGGTAGCATCCTTGTGCAGTTAAGAAGTGAGAGTAAAAGATTTGGCCTGCTACTGTTTTCTGCTTCTCTTGGCACTATTCCTGGAGAGAGTTGAGTTAGTAAATGTGGCTGTCACAGTAGCTATTACCAATGACACGAAATAATTAAGTTGTGGTTTCTGTTGTGGTGGGGCCGCTTCTGTATTTTATAGTGATACGTCTGCGCTAGGAGGGAGAGTGTCATGCTTGATTGTCGTGACGGATGCTTCTAGGAAAACAGGATGAGCCTCTAAAGGCAGGTTGTCTGATACTTTCCATTTACATGAAATCCTGTTGGTTACATGGCAGATCACTAATAGAACTTGCATGTTGTTTCTTCTAGTTTTCCTGATGAGGTGAGGGGGAGGGCAGCAGCCATCTCATTTTTCTCCCTGTTGTTTTTGGAGGGGATAGCTGCAATCTTTGTTCTTTTCAGCTAGTCAAAAGAATGCTTAAGCCAGTTTTTAGTCTGATTCTCTAATCAAGTGAATGCTTCTATTTTTTGATGTCTTGAGCCACCAGTGTGGGGTTCCTGGCTTTCAGTCCTGAAGACTTTGGGACACAGATGCTCAGCCGCGCTGAGAAGCCCTGGTAGTCCCTGATTGCTGAGTCCTGCTGAACTGTGCTCCATGCAGGAATTATACTGTGAACACACTGGGGGCCTTAAGAACAATCTTTCTTTTTCCGGTATTTAAAGTATTTTCTGTAGGTTGCCTCAGATAAATCTGATAGTATTACAGTGTAACTGCGAAATCCTGCTCTTTGGTCCTTATAGACAGGCTCTTCCTGTTGCACCCGATTTAGCTTCCTAGAGGGAAAAGTTTCTCTTGTAGCTTGGGCGGCAAACACAGTCCATGTGCTCTGGCATGCTGCTGGAGGGGCCAGGAGCCCTGCGGGGGTCGGGGGAGCCGGCCAGCACTGTGCTGACGCTCGACAAGTGCGTGCTCTGCTGAAGGTGAACATGAGCTTGCAAAATGTTGTGCAAACCTTCCTGCCATTGCTGGGGACCAATTGGATAGAAGCTGGAGAAAGTTTTGGGGTTTTTTAGTAGATGTTGCTGTACATATGTTGGTGTGTCAGGGGGGAAAAAACTTTTCAGCTGTCTGTGGTGTTACACCTTGAGGCTGAGGCTTTTTTTGTTTGTGTCTCTACAGTGGAAGAATCCCGTGTCACATTTATTTTGTATCTCGTGTTAGAGGTGACATTGTGCTCAGTGCTGAATGAGATGGAGAGGCCGTGCCGCACATGGCCTGCGGTGTCAAAAGATGAGCACGGAGCAGAACAGATGCGATAGGAGATTGCGGGGGGGGAAGCTCGACCTTGTGTTCATGTGCTCGGTGGCCCCTACCACTTGTGTCTTCACCTGGAGCTCCCCAGGGAAGGGAGGCATCTACTGAGGGAAGGGGCAAGGACCAGCAGAGGGAATTGGGATGCTGTCTGCTGGTGGGAAAAGACTCTGAAGCAGTAAGAAGAGATACTGGGGCTTGGTTGAGAGATCAGATGTCAAACCTTGAAAGGCAAGAAACTTCAGTGGGTAAATAGGGAAGAAGGGTGCGTGTGTGAACCATGGGAAGGGCGTTGGAGTGATCGGTCGGTAAGCAAAGCTTTTTGCTCTGTGTCAGTGCAATACAGCAGGTCCTGGGCTGTGACGGGAAGCCTTAAGGGATATGGTAATTAAGAAAAGTAACTAAGAACTAAGTCATAAAAATAATAAGTGTTTTACCAGCTCCGTTGTGCATAGGCAGGCAGCAGGGAATGTGGGTCACGCAGTGTGAGTGGCTGAGCCAGGAATAAAATCCAGGTCTGTTAATGCCTCAGGCCTCTCAATACGCACCAGACCGTGGCTCTTTCCTCCGGCACAGCTTGGGTGGGAAAGGACCTCCATTTTAGGTGGAAGACCAGGCTCCGCTCAGTCCAGCAGCTAATCATGTTCTCCTGTTGTTTGCCTTTGCCAGGTGCAAGTTCTTCAGCCTCACGGAAACCCCAGAGGACTACACCATCATTGTGGATGAAGAGGGCTTCCTAGGTAAGTGTCAGCCTGTGCCACTTCGGTATCCAACCTGGGGGTGGGGGTGGAGGCGGAAAACATGTCATCTCTCGCTGAGATTATAAACCAAAGCGTTTGTAAAACAGGTCTGTTTGTCAGTGCTAGCAGTACAGCTATGAAAGGTGCTTTGATCACTTAAGCATACTGTCTCTGCTGCTGTGCTGTACAAGGCGTTTCACACATGGAATATGAATATATTTTAATGCCAGGAGAAGAGCACGCACAAGTCTTAAAGAGCAGCTTAAGCATATTTGAAAAAGCAAAACCATCTGCATATCATTGTATTAAAATGAGCTGGCCTTTGTTGCCAAACCTCCACAAGCACACCACATCTTGCGTCTCCAGCTTGTTCATCCAACCTTTCTCATTAAAAGGAGCACTTGAAGATGAGTAGTTCCTATCATCCCCACGACCATCACAATGCTGTGGAGCTGCGAATCAGCTCCTTTGGCTCATCACTGAGAGTTGTGATTTTCTACCCAGCTCTCTCCGTATCAAATGTGCCATCTTTGCCCGTGGTGGCTGACGGTCTCTCTCTGCCCGTGTCAAAGGTGGAGTCGGCTGTGTGTCAGAGAAGCTGGTTAGCATGTGCTTGGGAGCTGCAGATGCTTGGCATTGGGCGAGTGCTGATGGAGAGAATGGTTTGGCTTTGTGGATGGAAATAGTTTGTAATAACATTTATCATGTGGGGAGGTTTTGTTTGTAGCAGTGTTACTGAGGTGGTGGAATGAGGAAGTATTGTGCAGCTATTATTATTTTTGTTCAATCGCTGCTTTCTGTGGTTGGAATTAGAAGTCTACACATTTTACCGGTTTGGAGAAAATTCATTAAAATACGAAAAAAGAGGATTTCATTCCTGAATAGGCATTAACTGTCGAGTAGCTACTTGTGACACTGTAATACTCATGGGTTTGTAATATCCAAAACCTAAGGAGAAAATGAGAAACTATACCATCTTTATTTAGTACAGAGTCAAAGTTTTATAATCAGTAGCATTGCTGAATTATTCCCCTTTCTGTTTCAGGAGCGCTCATAAACATATAATAGAATAAATTATTACATTTTAGAACACTACAATAGTGGCTAAACGTTTTCATAAAATAATCACTAGGTTGAGAATAGGTGAATGGATCTTTACAGCTATTGCTGTTTGTAATTTGGGAGTTGTAGGGTTTGACTGAAAGCGTATGTCACGTGTTCTGCTTTTGCCTCCCAAAAGAGGAGGTGACATACGATTCTGCTGCCAGAATGTCCCTTGTTGCATTTTTTCAGGGAGCATATGCATGAAAATCTTATTACTACTATCGGTAGTATCACCTTTTATATTATCGGTGGTAGCTGGGGGAAATCGATTCAAATTTGGTTTCGCCATAGTAGTAGGATGCAAAGCCTCCCTCTTAAGAGCTTCATTTTAAGAGAGAAGTCAGCAAACAAGGAGAGAAGTTTTTTTTCCAAGGGCCGCAGCACGTGGCAGAGCAAGAAACCCGGAGATTCCTATTCTCAGGAGGGAGTCTGCGTCACTGAACCGTGCTGTCCCTGCAGATGTGTCACGCTAGGGGCATGCTCATCTCCAGCATCACATCTGTGTCTGTGATATCCATGGCACTCACTTCTCTGCCCAGTTGGCACAAGGCAGATTCCTCAGTTCAATCACTGGTGGCAAGTTTGGATTGCAACCACCCCCATACAGCCTCTAGCAGCCACGCTGCTATTTATCTCTCTGGAAATTATTCCAGCTTGAAACAAAGGTGAGCTTAAGCAGTGGTTTTGCTCCTCAGTAGCGGGGGGTTGTGTTGCACTGTGTATGCCACCGGTTGTACTTGGAGCAAATCCCAGGTCTAGCCAGACCAGTGTCCTCGAGGAGCTGCATGTCCCACTGGTGCCCCGGGTTATCTCTGTGAACCAGACAGTGCTGCTGCACTTCAAAGCAGCGGTCCTCTCTGCTTGGACCCCTTTGACTTTGTTACCTTGGCTCTCATACACACATGAATTTACTGCTGGTAGTTACAGTACCCATGTAGCTTCCGTTGGGCTATGGTTTTGGCAGCATGTAACATCCCTTTTTTTCAAATACACCGCGTGCAGTTGGGGTGTTAAAGCAGGGCTTTGCAGGAGAAAAGATCACCTTCCGGGCAACGCAGGGGATGGAAGGAGCATGCTAAGGCCATCCTCTACTATGGCATGGTATGGAAGCCAGGTGCAAAACCCAGCACGGGTAGTGGTGTCACGGAGCTGGCAGCTTCATCACTAATTCTTTGCTCTTTGCTAGTAAGTGATGATCTGCTGGACAAGACTCGTACGCTCTGCATCCTGCTAACTGTCCTGACACAACCCCCATGCCCTTCGGGTTTGTGTCCAGCCTATGCTCTTCTTTCTGAACTGTCACAACCTCAGGGTTAGCCCTGACCGCGATCTCCACTGTTGCTCCATCCCTGTTCCTCATTTCCATATGCCGTAAGTTTTTCACGGTCTGAAGGAATTCAGGATCTACCATCGAGGATGCCTTCTAACAGTGAAAGGGCTCTGCTTCACTCCCTGCTTCCCCTCACAGCCTGGCTATAAATGTCTCAGGAGGAGGAATCTCACTTGGCCTTTGTACAGAGTGTAATCAGCCCGTGGACCTGAACAGGATCAAAATCTATATGAATTGCAGCATCCCACCTTCTTGCAAAACAGCACCAATCATGTCTGCCTCGAGTGGATAAGCTGCTTCTTGACCTGATTAGCCAAGTGCCAGGTTCAATTTGCCAGGCAGGGTAAATTTTCACCTTTGTTGAGCAGTTTAGGTAGCAAGTCCAGCAGCAAGAAGTGACTTTTTTTCCCCTCTCCAGGTAACTTTTGTTCTTCCAGTGCTTAACAAACTAGATGTAAGTCTCTGAAGGGCAGGCTTTTCTGTGTGGAAAGTTAGGGCCTTTCTTTCTCAGGCACCTATATGAATTTTTGCTGCAGCAGCAGTGAGAAGATTGTCCTCTCAGCTGGCATCTCTCAAGTTAGCCAGGCCCCTTCTCCTGCATATCACAAACAGCACTGAAGGGAAAAGAAATAGGCTGGAGAAATACTGGCACTTTCAGCAATCCTTGAGGTTAACACTTCAAACATACTGACACGCAGTAATCATTCTTAACTGTTTTGTCAAAAAATAATCCTCAGGCTTGTTTCCCTGAGAGTAGCGAGTGAGTCGGGCTGGTAAAGAACTCATTATTTCTTCTCCCCAGAAAATGTCTGCAGTGCAAAGCCGTAACCTGCTTAAGCATTCATCATTCTGGAAGGGAACGGCTACAGCCTAATTCTTTGCTTTAATTCCCTGGCGGTGAGGTGGGGATTATATCTGCACAGAACCTTGTTTGTTCCAGTGGCCGTTTCTTGGGCTTTGGCCTGTTAATGAGGAAGAATTTTATTCAGCAAATAACACAGGGGGACAGCGCACAGAAAGCTCTTTTCCTGGCTGATACTGAGATGAATTAGCAGGAGGAGTTTGGCCATGGGCCTTCCTGCATGAAGACAAGTGTCTCAGCTACTGGGGTGCTTGGACAGCCATGTAAAACCCTTGCATTTGTCACCTGCTGTGCAGCCAGCGCGTGGCAGAAAAGTCGAGCGGCTGCTGCTCCCTGAAATATAGCAATATTTGCTTGAGTTTGGTTTGGTTTTTTTCCCCAAGGTTTGGCTGAAAGCAGGAGCTGCCTGCGCGTGGTGCAGATATGCCATAGCCCCTGTGCTCTCCGCATAGTCTGTCCCTTTTTCAAAGGGCAGCAAGGACAGACTCCCTCCATCTCTGGGCAGCTGCACCAGCAGAGCTTTTAGCCTGTGGTCTCACTGGTCCCAGTAGTCTCCGTTCACCAAAGGTTTTAGCTTTCACACACTGAAAGGAAAGCACGTGCCAGCACACCTGGAGATAGCCATGCTCTCGGAAACCCTGTTTATGTGCACCGGGAAGCAGTTGCTAACATTGCAATCCTGTCCTGGAAGTGCCATCTGAATAAAATAATGGGGTCTGGGGGCAGCAACGTTCCTCCAGTGGCACTCCCAACAGGTGTCATGTCGCGGCTTCTGTACCGTATATCCAGAGAGACTTTTACTGGAGGTAAAGGGGCAGTTTGGGTGTTTGGTTTGTTTTAATTGTCCCTTTTCTGTTCCTGGTTTCTCCAGCTGGTTTGTCTGCAGTCCTATTCATCCTTTTTTCTCTTGAAAGTCCACTTCCAGGTTTAGCGATAGCTCTGCTTGGGTAGCTTTCAGTGAAATGCCATCCATCTAGCCTCCCATTTTACAGCACTTCTCTAATTGCACAGCACAGTGTGAAATGAAGAACTAACACTCTCCCTCAACCACCTTTATTCTCTACAAGCCTAATGAAGGAAGAGCCCGTCTAGTGTCATCTATGTCAGTTGGTCCAATTGCATGGAGGTGAGAGATGGCTACAGTTTACCCTCAGATATTTCTTTGTTTCAGTATCTGTTGCATGCACTTGAAACGAAGACGAACTCTTTGATAAGGACCTTCCCAGAATCACCACCACTGGGACCTGGCTATGTGCTAAGGGAAAAGGAGCTCCTCTGTACTATCATTCCTATGGCAAGATAGTCTCTTTGCACCTAGAAGGCAACAAGTTCTACTTTTTGAGTTTATGCCTATTTATGATGGAAAAAGAGGAGTCTCCCTTTTTGAGACCTCTTACAGGGCAGTGGATGGAGTTCGAAGGCTTCTTTCTCCATTTTGGGGGACAACCTCTAGCCTGTTGCTGCCCTGCCCTGGCCTCCTCTGTGATCTTGGCAGCTGTTGAGTTGCTCCATGAACATCTGCATAAATGGCGTCTGTGACAGTCTGTCACCCAGGTGAAGCTGTCCTGAAGATGGAAGATTGTAAAGCAACAAGTTGCTACCATTTCCACGGCGAGATCACTGCCTTCCCAGCCTTGGCATTTGGTTGGTGTCCCTTCCGTGCAATCTTTCTCTGTAGGCGGTGAACTTAAAAGGTATCAGAGA